ACCTGAAATGGCTTAGTCCTGCTCTCTTCAGCTCCATGGGTGTCCCTGTGAAGAACTACGCTCCCAGCATGTCAGGCCCTAGAAGTTCCTTAATTTCTAAGGCAAGCACCTCAGCTTGTATTTGCTGCCTGCATTCCATAGAGACTGAATAAGTACTGAGTTTAGCCCCAAATGCCACAGTGGTTACTGTGTTTTCAGTGGAAAAGGTGAGATCTTAATTTTAACTGTATCACAATAGCAAATACTCAACATTGCACTTAATGAAGTGTAACTAAAGTAAATGGGGGAGGGGGGAGGGGAGAAGAATTAGAGTGTGGAAAATTGCTTTATGTAATTTTATTCCTGACAGCTTGGCTAGAGGAGACAGAAGACACCAATATAACTGAATAACAGAAGTTAAAGTTTTTTCCTCTGCTCCCTTCTGCTATGGCTGATTAAACTATATAGGCTACAGAAGATAAAAGGATTCAAAGGAAACATTAAGCCTTTCTCATTGCCTTGAAAAATTAAAGCAGGCGAAGGAAAACAGAGTCTTCAGAATTATATTTATTACTTTTACTTCTTTAGAGACGAGACACTTACCTGCTTCTGTCAAAGATAGATATGATGAGCAACAGTGCGTTCGGATTATTGCCATGCAGTTGCTAACACACTAACAAATTGTTAGGCTTGTTATTTTTGTATAATATAGAAGCCAAAGGTACAATGTCAAAGGCCAAATCTTCACTGATCTACACCTACTCACACAGTGAGTAGGCAGTAGAGATGGTCAGTTGTATTGGGAGTATCTGCTATGAATCTGCTGGCAAGACTTTTTTTTGTCTTCTTTTTAAGCATACACAGGACCTACCATCTGAGGCAATACACAATAAGCAGCTGAAGACAGAGCCCTATAAATTTTGAAGGACTGGGCTGTTGACACAACAGTCCAAGTGCTATGAGGAAGGGGATTTACAAAGTTTGAGCTAGTAACATTATATATTTATTGCTTCTGTGATTTACCACAGAAGTGACTAAATTTTTTTTAAGTAATAAAAAGAGCAGTTGCTTGACACATCATTCAAGAAACACATCTGTTTAATTTTCATATTAAAGATAATCAGATTTAAAGAAATCTGGTAAATCAAGGAGATTATATGGCATCTGCATTTTCACTCATTAGGTGGTGAAAAAAAATCACATGAACATTTTGTTTTGACTCCAAATCTATCTTTCAGAACTAGTACAGAAGAACAAAGCACTTAATATAGCTTGAGTGGTCTCACATGGCAGGAAAAAATATAAATGTGTTCGAGGATTTGGGGTAAGTAACTTCTCTCAAGTTTTGCAAGATTTAGGTCAACTTTATATGTCAAGGTTTGTCTCAAAATCCGCTTTTCTTTCCCCAGAGTCTCTGCAATACCCTATTTGAAACACAGCAATTCGTCTTTGAGAAGTGGATTTTTAGGAAGGGTATGCATGCATATTTCTTCAGAAGTTGCTAGAGTAGTCTTTCCCACTCTCCTTCCTTTTGGAAGCAAGATTTGATCTTTCATATTACCAATCCATGCTCTATATTCTACCCATGAAGTATATATGAAGGAAGTACCCCAAAATGAAAAACCAAAAAAGAGTATCAGCTTTCAAAACAGCTTATTCGTTGCCCAAAATATCAATCACAGCTTTGTTTCAGATTTCAAATATTTCCTTGCAAGAAAGCTGTTTCTCTTTTGATGACAGATAGGGACATTAATTCATGAGCAAATTCTTAAGACTGTCAGCAAGGGGCTGAAAATTCCCCCTCTCTTTCTCCAAGGTAGGGCAGAAGGAAAGGAGGACAGGAACAGGAGGAAAAAAACAAGTTAAAGGAAAAAGTAAAGTCTCCAAAGAGATAACCACTATAAGTAGCTTAACAAAAATGCTCAAGAATGTCAATAGGGTCCAGAGGATATGTAAGAATGCAGAGTCAGAAAATAGAATTTCCAGCAAGAATCATTATGTGTATGCTCAACACAAAAGCAAGCCGCCTATATGACAGCCTTCTACTACATCCTTGCTATATTTTGCTGGAAGACAGAAATATGCACATCCTGTACTAGTCTATCAAGCTCAGGATTTAAGGGACAGGTGAAAATGAGGATTAAAATGGTATATCCTAGATATACAGAGACCAGCACAACAAAGACAGGCAGTTTAAAAACAGTTTTTAAACTGCCTGTCTATTTACAAAGGCCAATACTATAATTCACAGAACACACATTTTCCCTTCATTTGCTAAATCAACATACCTATCATATCATCACTACATGTATTCCTCATAGGAATGACCTTTCATCCATTATCTTTTGAAGTCCTGCAGTGCTTGGGAGAACATCTTGCAAATTTGTTAGCCTCCTTCACATTCAAGACCACATTCTCCTCTGGATCATCAGTAGCAATTTTTCTCTTGATGTTTTTTTCATAGCTCATCAGTTTTATTACAAAAAAAAATAAAAAAAATAAAAATACAACTAGCAGGGTATCTGCCACTTGATTTTGCTTCTTGATGGCAAATTGAACAGGTTTTTCATCCCAAACTGAGATAACAAGCCTGAAGATCAGGCTTAGCTTTGTCAATATTTCTGTAAGCAGCAGCAACGAGTACCCATACTGACAATGGAGTGCCTCTTCTTCCTGCATATTGACCACGTCACTTCCAAACCAGCAAGTAGCCTAATTATTAGACTATCTGGTAAAAAGTCAAGAAAGTTGCTCCAGAAGTAAAATAGATAACTATGCCTCACAGTGAATCACACACACAGTGAATCTGGAGCAATCACACAGAGGTCTTCCAAGCAGGTAGGCCTTATTAGCTAAGACAAGCTTAGGATAATCCACTGATCTGCAGGACTAAAACAATAGTCCTCAACTACAAACCAAAAGACAGTCATAAAATTTCAGCATGACAGGAACAATTTGGAGTATGTGCATGGGATGGGCATATATTTTACTGGTTTCATAGGAACCATAGCACAGTTAAGTGACACCTGCTTCTTTTAAGGGCAGAGCAAAAAAAATTTTGTACACAAAACACATTTAGCTTAAAGAGTTAGCAAGTAACTCTTCATCTACAAAGAAAGGATACACACTTCTTAATACCATTCCTGAAGCTGTAGCCTCAGGAACTACACTTAAAAAGGAAATCTGACAAGGACCCAAGTAAGTAGGTTATAGGAAACAACAACATCTGCTCACAACTCCCAGAATCGACAAATGCCTTTTTATGATATCCTATGTAGTCAACAATACAAAATACATTCAGATCTGAAGTTCTGAAATTTTCTGGGTTTGTTTCATTTATCTCTTATTTTAGAATTTGATTTTGACCGCATGAAACCACAGTGACTGGTTAAGTTCATAAACAACAAGACAACAATGAAACAAACAAGTTAGATATGAGAACCCCAAAGACATATTAGTCAGAATGTCTAACCTTAAATTTTGTGCAACATTTAATTGCACCAGCAAATTAACGTTATTGACAGGTAAGTCTGTATTAGGTGTTAAACATCCATCCCTTTCAGTTAGGGGGGCAGGAGAGAAGGCTCCTGGTAAGTGTTTCAAGACAAACAGCAAAGATGCCATAAGGAAAAATACCACACTATTCAGGCAGTCTTTATAACCCACAACAGAAACAGAGAGAGGTAATGACTTCCCTCATTTAATCTTAACACAAATAACTTCAAAATATATCTTACAGTATGTCCAAAGGATAAATATATTTCAGACTGCTTCTGAAAGAACACTATCAGCCTAAGTAAGATTTCTTTGAGTACTGAAGAGCACATTACCATTCACCATCATCCCATTTTACGTATCTTTGACACTGGAGGGAGATTAGTCAACTTCACTTATCTATGGTCTTGGCACTAGAAGGTGATTTAAGTAATTAATATATATTAGAAGCAAGTATATTGCAAAATCCTACTATAAGTTTGAGATTTAATTTCACTTTATCCAGTCTTGTACACTTAGAGCCTCTGTTGTACAGAGCCTTATGTGGCTTCAAAAAACTATCACCAGCATGATATTTACCCCTGCTAAACTTTTTTTATACTGGCAAACACGATGAAGTAAGCCTACTCTCTGACACCTCCAATTCTCTAGAACAACACTAAAAGAACAGATTTCAAGAGCTAGAAAAGGCAATTACGCCATCTACACTAATTTTGTCTCCTGCACATCACAGGCTAATAGCCTTTGGGACACTGCATGAAATTTATATCAGATAACAGTTCTGTGTATGCTATTTTCTATCAAAGAGGTGCTTTCAGTCAGGAGGCGAGAGGGGTGCTAAATCCAGGGAAAGGATTTAGCAGTTTTTCAACAACTTATAGTATTCTCACAGATGTTATGATCTCACTTTTTTTTCCCCCTGAATAAGGGTATTGCCTAATATGGAAAACAACCATCTACCCACTGGACCACAGCTCATTCTTAACCTTACGGTCCCAGCTACTTAAGTAGGCCAAAATGAAATTCCCATTTAAAAAGAAGCCAGGGAGGACACACCTACACATGGCAGCTGAAGGATGCTTGGACAGGCACAACTCAGAAGCTGGAATGTACTGGGAAGCCCTAACGCTGCTGGAGAGAGCAGCAGCAGGAGGATGTGAGGGACTCTCACTATTCATGGGCCTGTCCAAACACTGAAGCGTCTGTCTCTAGATAGGAGCCTCTTTTATAGACCTGATATCATAACTTCCTAACTTTTACACTTGTCAGAAAAAGTCTTAAAGAACAAAAAAAAAATAAAATCAAACAAACAAACAATAACATTACCTTTATAAGCAGACACTTTGCAAACGTCATGGGGAGGAAAGGGTGATAAGGCACCTGAAAGCTACATTACTTACGCCAGCTAGACGCCCTTCTAAAGGGTCTCTCAACCCCAGGCCTCTTCCCCCCTGGGATGCAGCCTGTGCTGCCACACAGCAGCAAAAGCGACACACCACGTCCTTACTGGAAACCAAAGCACTTACCTGTGCCGGTGCTCGTCGTGCCCTTGCCCGTGGATCAGGAAGCTTCCGAGGGTTTTGTCCCCTTTGCTCGTATCCACGTGAGGAATCAGCACATCCTCCAAACCCAGGTCAAAGCGTTTGTGCTTCGAGGAGTCAGGCAGGAAGAAGAACGCTCCGAAGCACAGCGTGATGAAGGCACTAAGAATAAGGAGGAGGATAAATTTCTCGGAGAGTCTCAAGGTAGCCCTGTGGTGCGGGAAGGAGGAGGTGCCCAGGTTCAGGGCGGGCAGTCTCCGCCCGGACAGCGGCAGCAGGGCGGGAGTGGTCATCCTTCCTCTAGCGACCACCCGCCGGGGCTCGGCGCATCGCCCGCCGCGCCGCCCCTCAGCCCGTGCGGAGCCTGGCGCCCACGGCGCCCTCTCCGCTCGCCTCGGCCGCCTCCCGGCGCGGCGCGGGGGC